GGGGGGGGGGGGGGGGGGGGGGGGAGAGGGCTAGACAGGTCAGTTACACACATGAATCACTCGAACTGACCCGGCTAGTCGTTGCCCGGCTCGGCCCTTCGGGCCTCGCCTTCGCAATTGCATCGTTCGCGAACTGGATAGATCTGAGGGACGAGGAGAGCGTGTGACGCGGAGATTTCGATGTCCAAATTTGCATCTATCACATGGCCCTTGGATAAAGGCTTGACGCATCCTTACAGTAAACAGACTCCTCCTCAGCAGAGTGACTGAGTGAGTGAGTGGCTGAGTGACTGAGTAAATAATTGATTGAATGAATGAATGCATGAATGTTCACACCCTGGACCTCTTTTTGCGATAAGCGTATGAATCCACAGACCAGTGTATCAATAGCCAGTGGCGCATGCGGGCGTCAGAATCTCCCACGAGGGGCCTCGCGCATGGCCGAGACAAATTCCGAAGTGGCCACGCACTTGCGTTGATACTCATTCATTTGTTTGATAACGTTCAAAAGTTGCATCAAACTCGAGCCACGGACCCTGGTTCTGCCACGCATCAAACCCACTAGCACGCTCGGTGGACAGAAGCTTCCGCAGCTGAACTTGATGCTCTTTCTTCACTCACAAGCAGCAAAGATTCACTTTGGCTTGGCTTCATACATTCCGTGGAGTTGACCGCACGCGGCATCTATGGCTGCACCAAACGAATTCCTGAGGAGACCACACGCATTTAGCTTTCTCATACACATTAATTGAGTCCTGGGACAGTCCTATACCTGTAAGACCAGGATATCCCTTTCTGGCTCAAGGTCCGCTGCAGCAATCAAGCACAGCCAGAGCCATCCTTGGTTTGCCTGGTTGCTCGGCAATCGTCGTCTCTTACAGCAAATTTCTCTACGGCATTCTCCTCGAGCCGCTCAAAACCACCATCGACACCGCGAGCTGACCAAACGCACATATGCGACAACGTGTGGCGTTGCATGAGCAGCTGCCTTTGAGCCCTCCCTTATCCACCTGTGTTGTAGGGAAGGAGGTTGACATGATACAAATGCTGTACATTAAAGGGCCGTTCCTTGATCAGTTGAACAAGGGAGTCGGCATGCTCGTGTGTATCCGTTCTGCCTGCACCCGGAGAGCAAGGGGCTGGATGTGTACCACTCTGTTGTTCTCTACCTACCCTTGAGCATCAGGTAAGCAATCCATATTCGGCGTCCCGTTTTCTCAATCCTGCAGTGGTGAAGGCCACAGAGATCCAGGTGGGTTTCTCCCACGAAGCAGCTGTCTGACAGCCACAGCCGACCTCCGATCGAGCAGCGCAAAAGAATCCTGGAAGGGGTATATGCGATTCGTCGGGACCTGACAACATATAAACGGGACAAGCAACAGTTGCGAAAGGCTGGCAGTGAACCACTTCCTTCGCACCAGAACGTTCCTTTCTTCTGGAAAGGGTGAGTGGAGAGAAAACACCAAGTTGACCTGCGAGATGCAAAACCAACATGTACGCACTCTCTTGCATGGGCAGCGGGTGTCCGGCGGAGCTGTCATGATGCGTGCCTGTGGATGTTCGCGTGTGAGCTTTTCGATGCCCGGCAGGATTCCAATCGTCGAGACGTTCAACCTACCAGCAAGCAAAGGGCTCGTATGGCAGAGAGGAGCTATCTCTCGTCGCTCACGTGCGGACCTTCTGGAGGAGAAGTTGAATACATCTGGATCTGAACGAACAGACACCCTCAGACGCGCGCCAACAGAAGGATGTGAGCTACCTGTATCTCTCAGCTTGTCAGGTAGCTGACCTGTGAGCAGCTTGAGCGCGTCGAAGACCTTGGGGTTGGCCAGAGGCTCGCCCATACCCATGAACGACACTGTGTCAACCTTCTGTCCCAAATGCATGAAGTACAGAACCTGAAACATCAAGTGCGCCATCAGTAGATGGCACATATTCTGACGGTGTCTTTCCTCTTTTTTTTTGGCCTGACCCTTGACCTGGTCAGTAATCTCATCGGCTGTCAGCTGCCTTTTCAGACCAATTTTGCCTGAGGAGTCCACAAGATTTCATGGAGGACAAGTCGTTATGACTGACAGTCTACCCACCTGTAGCACAGAAGCTGCAACTAAATGCACAGCCAGCCTGCGAGGAAACAAACGTGAGTGGGACAGCATCGGGTTGCGTATCCCTGCCTGCCTATCGCCAGCCGTGGATCACCTACCTGACTCGATATGCAGAGAGACCGATGGGAGTGGAAGTCGAGAGATACCGCTTCGATCCGGACCCCGTCACGACACTCAAACAGCACCTTGTGAGCAAAATCACCCTTCACCTCCTTGACAGGCTTGAGTGAAAGAAATGGCCCGCTGAAGTGGCTTGTGAGGGCATATCGCAGCTTCCGAGGCAGCACCTTCATGTGCATGAAGTCGCTGTAGTGGCTCTTGTAGGCCAGCTCCAAGATCTGCCGGGTGCGGTAGGCCTCGAACCCCAGCTGATCCACAACCTCTGCCACCTGCCTCAGACGCGGGCTGCACTGCAACGCCATCGCTGGAGCCTCGGTGATGCTGAACAGACAGACACAGACAGACAGACAGGCACCCATCCATCCATCACGAGTGTGCAGTGCTGTCTGTTCAGTGTGAGGAGTGAGTGTGTCAGATCTACAGTGAATGGTGCTTCTGTGTTGGAGAGAGACCGAGGAGGTGGAATGTCAGCGTGAAACCCATCTCTTTTGAGGGCCCGACTCGAACCCCTAGCTGTCCGAATCCCATCCGTTCCCTCGCAGGCTGGCTGCACTTTCGAGTTGTGTTTAACGAGCCTCGTGGCTGTAACCTCCGAGTCTTTTTGCGAGTCCGATTCATGTACACTGTGTGGCAGCGCTTTTTGCAGTGAGGAAGGGGTTTAGAGCGCAGCGTGAAACCTTCAGTGACGACACTGCGAGTCTGAACACAATAACCAACCAACAGGCCGTGTGCATGCTTCTATGCATGTGCATGCTGCTAGTTTAGTGCGTGACCTGGACAGGATCCCCTCGGGGTTACAGACACGAGTCTCGTTAAACACAATAACCAACCAACCAACCATTCCCATTGTATCGTTCTATTCGTGACACACTCCACACAGTTATCGCCCAGCATGGCGTGACTGCCCCTGATGCCTGTAGTTATCGTCGGTGGCGCAGGTCACATCCCATTGTGTTCACTTGTTGTGTGCTGCAATCGGACAAACTGCCGGTGCTTTCTGCAGCTGCCGACTTTCTTCTGTCAGCACAGGCAACACGCACTGAGTGGCTTGCCCTCAACCCATTCTTGCCAGACAGTCAGACAGGGGAAGACGACGAGCTGCTGTACGAGCAGCATGTCTTAGATCAGTGGGCGCTCGACGTCGAGCTCTCTGACTAGCCTCTGGGTGTCGTGCCTATGTCTGGCTGTCATTCTCGTATATCTGCAACCGTTGTCGACAGCGATTTTCTGACCATCATAGAGTGGCACGTGCGTGTCGAGTGGGTGGGTGGGTGGGATGGGGAGACAGGCCGTGTGCATGCTTCTGTGCATGTGCATGCTGCTAGTTTAGTGCGTGACCTGGACAGGATCCCCTCGGGGTTACAGACACGAGTCTCGCTCGTTGAACACAATAACCAACCAACCACTCCATATCAGGTATGTGATCCACGGCTGACGAGAGGCAGGCAGGGATACGCCACCCGATGTTGTCCGAATCACATCCTTTTCCTCGTTCGTCTTCCATTTCTTCGACGTGTTTCTGTCAGCAAGGGGTTGGGTGGAACACACACAAGTCCCGGAGAGCGGTGCGTCGGATTTCACCTCATCGTCCACCTCACTGGTATCAAATCTTCTTGACGTCCTCTTGCGGGCAACGACTCTTCTAACTTCCTCTTCTTGCCTGCCCTCCGTACGCATAGCCCTGCTATCGCGTCTGGGCAGAGCAAGTGAACAGCTGGAGACGGTGGAGGGCTGGCAGGGTGCCAAGGAGGGCGGTCACGATGGACGAGCAGTGGCAGCACGACAGCCGGATGAGAGCCTCGAATGTCATCGTCAACTATCTCCCGAGTTCCCTTCGCGAGGACGAGCTGAGAGCTCTCTTCTCTCAGGTGTGCAGCAAATGAGGGAGATGGGACAAAATAAGAATGCATCTATCTGTATCTATTAGATCGGCCCGATAGAGTCGTGCAAGGTGGTCAAAAACAAGGTCTGACCATGGGCACCACGCCGTTACGTTTCGGAAATAACCGTACACCAGCTTCGCAACCGTACACCGCCTTTCCATACAGGTTACGGACAGGTCCTTTGGATTCGGGTTTGTCAGATACTTCACAGCTGAAGATGCCAAGGTCGGTGAGGGGCACACGCCGCAGTTTGGTCATATGGAGTTTTTCACAGATCGATTGAGCGTTACTGGCTGTTTGTGCAGAAGGCGATTGAGGCCTTGAATGGCTACGAAATCGAAAACAAGAAACTGAAGGTTAGGAATCAGTACTGAAAAAGAGGTGTATCACACGATGTGATTATTTTGCTCACTAGGTGTCGCTCGCGCGGCCTCAGAGGTGTGGTTATTCGCATGTCAGACGTGTTCGTGGATGTGTTTGTTGTGTGCATGTACTCCGGCCCAGCGACGCGATCAAGAATGCGAACCTGTACGTGCGCGGACTGCCGAACAACTGCAGCGAGGAGGACCTCATGGCCGTCTTCTCCCCCCATGGCACCATCATCCAAGTAAAGGATCCAGTCGAGAGAAATCACTCGCCAGCCCAGTGCCCATTTCTATGTGTGAGCACTCGCCAGACCAAGGTGCTTGCCGACAAGGACGGGCGTGCAGGCAACCATCGGTGTGGGTTTGTGAGGTTCAACCTGAGGCGGGAGGCCGAGAGCGCCATCGCAGGTCTGCACGGCACAACTCTGCAGGTACGACCCTGCCAGCCAGCCAGCCGGCCATATCTTCGCATAAGGCAATGACCTTATGTGTGGACTTGTTCATCGCAGGGATCGACGAGTCCTTTGTTCGTCAAGTTCGCCAACCGCGTCGACCCCCTCGGTCGTCGCGATCCGGATGTCATGGTGGGCAACGACAGCGGCAGTGGGCTCGGCTACAGCAGCCCTTCCTTCACCCACCTCAGCAGTGGGTACATGGCCCCCCGCGACAGTCGCTTTCACGGCCCGCCCATGCAGATGCACATGACAGGTGGGAGGGGCGGCATGGCCATGGGCAATGGTGGGCGAGGGGGCGGGGGAGCTCCGGGGATGGGCTACGGCAACCACTACCACACGGGCAGCATCAGTAGCTACCCCGACCCCAGCGTGGGGTACGGTGGCACGCCGATGTCTGCATATGGCGACGGAGGCATGTATGGAGCAGACCACGAGTACGGCGGCTATGGGTATGCGGGGGGAGTCGACTATGGCGACCATGACTATGCATATGCCGCCGGCCACGAAGCCTGGGACGGGACGGCCGCATGTGGAGTCTGGGGTTATTATAGCTAGAGAGACTCACATGAGAGGGAGGAAGGGAGGGACAGAGAGATCGATACAGATGGGTTAAGTGGCATCGATGGATGGGTGCATGAGAGTTCGCTGCTGCCGGCTGTCTTGTTCGTATTTATGCATTCTTCACGGGAGGAAGTGACATGACAGGTCTAGCTGATGGTGCAGGGAGGACTCACTTCATACGATGTGTGTTAAGTAAGGTGTGTTTTATGTCATGCCTGTATGCGTGTGCGGGCACTGCCTGCGTCATGGTTGCCGCTGTTGCGTGGGGGCTGGAGAGCTCTCTCCGTTTTGCCGCTCGAGGAGGGAGCACCCATTTGTGCGCCATGGATATCCCTGGCCGGTCTTTCGTGCATCTTTATGTATGTACAGTCCTGATGCATATAGGCGCTGCGTGCTGCCTCTCTGGCGCAAGACGCACAAATGCATGACCACTCCTGCATAGATACTACCTTCCAACGTATCATCGATGCTTGTGAGCGATTCTATGGTGAGACCCAGCCGTTCATCCACCCATGAATGAATGAGTGAATGAATGAATGAGTGGATGAAGGTCTGAAGACTGCATCCAGCCCGTCCCCCACCCGGCACTCAACACTGAGTTGACTGCAACACTCAACACTGACTTTACTGCAGTCGAAATGATTCACGAACCATTCATGTCCACCACTCAAGCACGCAACATAGAATACGCCTCACTATGTCTTTTCACTGTGGCCTCCAAGCCCCTCCTTCCCGTCAATGCTCTCCGCCGCGCTCCTCTCAGCATGCGGACTCAAGACCATGACGAACAGCAGGGCATGGGTGAATGGCCGGATGAGGTTCAGCAGCACCGGAATATTCTGTAGTGACGCTGGATGGATGCGCGCAATGCCACCTGCATCATTTATGCACACACACATCCGCATGCCTGCATGTATGATGGACGGACGGATGGATGGTTGGTTTGCTTCTTCAACCAAGTGCCGCCGCGAGTGTGTGCCTTGCATGGATTCACACTCTTGCATGTCGTTTCGGCAAATACCATGCGCGAAGGCTTTCTCTTCAGCTCCTCAGGCCAGGACACCACGAATCGACCCACACGCACCCTCTGAATAACAAAAAATGCGGCCCCCGTGTGTACACAACGCGCCACCTCACCTGAAACGAGCAAACAAGCACAAATGTACGCGGCTGTGATGTGCTTTGTTCTCGAGAGCCGGTCTGAGACAGTTCCGATGTGATCTTTCACTACTATACTACACTTCGTTCACCACATCAGCCATGCACATGCGCGTGTCCCCTCGTCCGTCCATCGGTCGCTGCCTCACTCATCGCGTCGACACATAAACAGGCAGACCACCCACTCAATATTCATCTATCGGTCACCCACTCGACACACTCACGGCCACGTCATTTTTCAAACAGACAACCATTCACAGCGAAAAATTGTTGTTTCAGTAGTTCCTGCGGTCGTATTCGGAGAAGAAGTCGCCCTCGTTATCGGGGTTCTCCTTGCTCCAGTTGATGAACAGGATGCCCAGCGACAAGGGAATGGCCGTTATCGCCAGCAGCTGCAGCGGACTGTCCACACCCAGAGGCTGAAGCCACGAAACACACACAGGGCAAATCCAGCCCAGCAAATCCCTGTGTCCATTCTCGTGTGCTCTTGTTATGTGTACCTCTCCAGTGCCCTCCGTTGCGAGAGCGGCGAGCGGGGCAAGCAGTGGTGACACAGCGAGAGCAGCTCCGAGGTTTTTGGAGAGCTTGTCGGTCTCGGCTGACATTCTCAGCGGCGATGGAGCCTGACGCCGTGCTCGAAGCAAGAGCGGGTTAGTCGGGACGTAAGCTGCTGAATCCATGGCTTCTGCCAGCTGCGCCACGAGGCACATGGCACACAGCAGGGTGGCGACGACGGACTTCATCTCTGATGGCTCCAAGGGACTCACACCTAGGGTGTTCAAAGCCCGCCAATGGCAAGAAACCCTCGAAAATTCGACCGTTGGCGGTTTCACGCGGAGATGACACTACCCCGACACGCCATCGGACCAACAAGTGCTCTCTTTTGCCATCTGTCTGTCCGCCAGTGCCAGTGTAGGGAGGGGTAAACAGGCCGTGTGCATGCTTTGCATGTACATGCTGCTAGTTTAGTGCGTGCGACGACAGGATCCCTCCAGGGTTAGTCTCGTAAAAAACAGTAACCAACCAACCAACGTGTGTCTGTGCCCCATCGTCCGTGCGTGATACCCCCTGGACACGTAACGGTGTGCATGTCTGTTCTTTAGAAAGTGTGCGGCGGGCAAGCGCCTGAAATGAAAAAATGCGGTGGAGGCGGCGAAGATTGAAAACGTGCAGTGGGAGACAGCGAGACATTTGAAAAGATGCGGTGCAGAGACAGGTAGATGAAAAAGTACAGGATGTTCAGACACTTTTTCAAGCTCCAGCACACTGTGTGCTCCTTAGGATGCCCTTGAGAGCTGCCTCGAGAATGAAAATGTGCGGTCTTGTCGAGGAAATAGGATGAAAAATTGCGTTGGGCGACCAAACGAATGAAAATGTTTGGTAAGACCGCCGAGAATGAATTTGTGCGGTGGAGAGGGGCGACGGTGAGAAAGTGCAGTTTGAAACTGTTGCGTGTCAAGGGGGTAGTGCGTGATCAGTTCTGGTGTGATCAGTTCCGGTGTGAAAAGCTGACTAGCTCCGGCAGGAAGGGTCTCACCCCATCGCTGCGCGACAAGCGATCAGTCTTCTCACCCAGCGGCTGAGCTACCTGCGTAAGTGGGACCACTTGCGAATGAATGAACTATGCACAAAACGGCATCATTCATTCATTCATTCATCACCCCTCCTTCTCTCTACCAATAGCTACTATCTACACCGTGGCCGGCGCCTCCCAACTGCAGCAACACATGTCAGAGAACGAGATCATGCATGATTGGAGGTCTAATGTGCCGTGCATGCATGATTCGTACCGCTGCCGTGGGGGGTCTTCCCGTCACTCTCCCGGAGGGAGCACTGGCTGCTATGGAGGGACCATGTGTGTCATGCTGATTGTAGTAAGCGATGTATTGACATGGAACGACTGACATGAGGGTGGCGTGCCATGGTCATAACATCAAATGATAGGTGGGTAAGAAAGTCAGGAAGGAGGTACGCATTATCTTGCTCATAGACACGCACAACTTATCTTTCTTTGTCTAGCTAGTAGAGAGAAGTACTGTACGGCTCAGACTCATCGCGAAGACGGCCTTGTTGCGAACCCGCACGACTTGGACGGCTCAACATATCGAGACACGACAATAAGCAATCACCAAGTCCATCACTTACTGATGTAATGAAGCAAAAAAGGGTGCGAGAGATACGCTGGAGAGTCCCACATAAGAAAGCGAGCAAGCCACTCTACAAGCGCTGCAACGAAAGGACGACCTATCTCGCTGCCTTTGCTCAGGCCATCGTTATGCCCTCCCTGCTCTTGCTCTGAGTCGGGCATCAGAGACGTCTCCTGTATCCTTGAGGGTGGAAGATCAACTAGCCATTTCATCAGCGACAAGATCGATATGAAGGAGTTTCGCTGAAGTGGACAAAGGGCGGCAAACATGAAAGACCGCGAGTGAGCTTCGTGGGTATGCGGCGGTGCACCTGAGGTGTTGGCAGGCTGAGCAGCGCCGCCCTGCAGACGAGATGAGAGCCCCCATCGTCAAGATCCGTCACGAACTCACGACTGACCAAGGGTGAGGGGAGACTGAAACCCCAACGCTCTATCACCTACAAACAACACGACCGCACAGCGGACATATGAACGTATTGAGTGTCAGCTGCCTCACCTTCAGAGTTGCGGCGACAGTCACAGGTGGATCGAGGCTTCCGAGCGCCCTCCCCTCGTCCGTCGCTATGCGTATCCTTTCCATCTCATCAGCCAACCTATCACACACTGGATCGGACGCCGTGTTCGTGGCCCCCATGAGGAAGTCAGATAAATCAAACGATGGATGTGCACTGCCGCTCATTTCTCCATCGAGCTGCCGGCGGCGGATAGTCTCGTAAACGAAGGACATCAGCCACCAAAGCTCCTGCAGAGACGAGAAGGAATGCCAGGCAAATTTCGAGTCAGTCTTCTTTCACCGACCTACTTTTGGCATCGGGTGCGGCGATCCGCCTTTGGCTTTTCGACTCTCATGCAGTGTTCCTGCTGGTGCGTCAGCTGCTGTCAAGTCTGCCAATGGTAAACAGGCAGATATATGTTTTCGTCTCAAGTGCCGGAGTCTGCCTTCTCACCTCCTAGTTGTGTCAAATCTGGGTGTGACGATGTGGCGCCTTCGGCCGATGATATCGGATGGGCCTTGAGCTCCAGAAGATCCGGGACACCTAGACCATAAATCGATGGCAGAATTGCGGCGGAGACCGGAAGATAGTAGTCCCGGCCGCTGTCCAACATGCGGAACACCAATGTCGTCTCACCCTGCACTGACAGTACAAACAGAAGTATCGATACTGTATGTCTGTGCCTGCTGACCTCTTTAGGCTTGCTGATTCCTTCACCGATGCAAACAGTCAGTGTGACGTTTAGTCGACTGTTCCCCATGACAACTCCTTCAGCTGGTATCGCATGGATCCACCTGAACCGGAAGTCATGATACTGAGATGATTTATCTGCTGCTAAAGTCACCTTTGCAGGGCCATGGATCTCTCCCTCACTTCCGCACTCCCGAATGACCCTTTGCCCTCCATGTCAGGTGCACAGGGAGGTGGGGGTAGTGACAATGACGAGTTCGCCAAGGCCCAGGTAACGCTGGGACAAGGAGACTCGGTCGTCGACGCCATCTCTTCGGGCACTCCGACATTGTTGGGAGTTGTGGTTGCCGGAAGCAAGTGATGCAGGTGGAAGGGCGAGTTGGCTGTGGGTGTCTTGTCCTGGATCCGGGAGGAACGGTGGAGAGGTAGAAGCCGCTCGGGTGAATCCGCCAGTGCAAGGATGGTGAAGGCCGATGGGAGGGGCCTGGGGTTGTGCAGTGTGATGGTTTGAGATAGGCAATGGAAGGGGCGGACAGGCGGGAGAGCAATGCTGCAGGGATCGAGGCTCAGGAGAGAGGTGTGCTCGAAGGGCTCAGCCTGATAGACAAGCAAAGACATGATGAATGGCACCAGCTCATGGGGTGGTTGTCCCGCTTGCGTCCCTGTTGTCCTCTGCTGAGGGCCTCAAGCCTACCTGCAGTGCTTCGAGCAGCGTGTTGTACAGTTGCCACAGACGAGGGCGATCCAGCGTCGACGAACGAAGGAGGTAGCTCGCATACACAGGCCTGGCAAATGTGTCAGCAAGCACTGCCTCAGACAGAACCACGTGTGCTCTCTCTTCTTTCAGCACTGCCTCACCGATGGTCCGATTGTTTGACATCTTTGATGGTTCCGTATTCCAGCCCCTTCATTCCTCCCTTTCCCCCCTCGTGCCGCACCAGCACCCTGTCGCACCAGGCTGGACACCTTATCTTCCCCGGACGCATGTCGAAGTAGTTGCCCCACTCTTCATACTTGTATGTCGGAGGGAACCGCAACTGCATCTCTTCGAATCCATCCAATGGCCCGCCCCTTCCCTGTTTTTTGGCCCGTATCAACTCATCGTACTGCCATAGGGACTCCCATGCATGGGGCTCGACGACCCACAAGTCCAGGGGCGCAGGATCGGACCCAGTGAGTGGCGATGTTGCAGACGGGAAGGGGGAAAGGACTCCAGAGGGCGGTTGGGAAGGAGAGCCCTGCCGAAGGTGAGTGGACTGAATGGCTCTCAATGCTTCCAACGGCTCGAGTGGGCGGGAGGAAGCTGCCTCTTGGCCGTCATCCAAGGGACAGCCGTCACTCAAACGAAAGTTAAGGTCACCCATAAACACCACAATGTCGTGCTGAAGGCGCAAGACAGGATGCACAACACACTCTGCCTGTCTTCGAGTGAGTTTGTCATCACCTCCAATAGCTTCCATGTGCGCGGCTCTCCACTTGGTTCACTCACAATAAACTGAAGCCGATTTGCGATGGTGCTGATTTGCTGAAGGCGCCATATTTCCTCTTCCCTGCCAGTGCCAGACGCAAGATGGGCGTCTACGATGCACACAGACGTGTCGTGAAGGGTCAGACGAACACCAACAGCTCCTGACAGCAGGGGACAGGGAGAGACTGGGGAGCCCTCTGGCCCGTTACGCTTTTGTCTGTTTGCCTTACCTTTGTTCCCGCCCGCTCCAAGAAGCCCCACGCCCACGCACGCGTCACTCACGTGACCGACGGTTTTGTCCGACATGAGGCGCCGGCGGGCAAACACGAGCAACAGGAGGCCGACCAGCCGTTTGCTCCTGACTAGCACAAGTTCATTGTGTGTGTCGATGGGGCTCGCATGGCTGGAACTGGCGAGACTTTCGACGACCCATTGAGTCCAGGCCTGGATGAAAGGCAAAGCAGAGTCAACACGCAGGATGGGGACGTCTTTCGTGTGACCTGTTCGTACTCGTCCACGTCGACGAGCATGTTTAGGGCATTCAACTCGCAGATCTCCTGCAGACTGAACGAAACGAATGATAACATACTGCCCTGCCCAGGCTGCACGAGATCTCTGTCAAGGGTGTCAAGCTGCTCACCCGACGACCACTATGTCTGCAGCAGGGTCCACATCTTCAATGCGAAATGCGCTGTGACTCTGAGCACGAGCACGCACAAACATCAGTCGTGCAACCGGTCATCATCCCCTAGACTTTCGCACCTTTGGCATCGCGGCTCCAGCATTGTAGGTCAGCGCCAGCAGCCGATAGTGGAGTGACGTTGTGAACTCGGCTGCCTTGGTTTGCAGGGCTTGCTTCAAGATGCGCACTCTGCCGGCTGGAAGGGAGGAGGGGATGGTAATGGGCATAAGCGGAAAGCTCTCTACTGCGTCCTGTTTCTGCATGGCGCCATTCTTCTAGGGTTTAGGGTTTAGGGTTTAGTCAGCCAGCCAAAGACGCCATGACAGCCCATCACTTTGTCTGACATTATTTATTTAATATCAGTCAATCAGTCAACAACTAATCGTCATCTGTGGGTCTGTCCAACATGAAACACCCCAACATGCAACCCGGACACGCAACACGCAACACGCAGCACGCAGAGGGCAGATGCAGCAAACGGTGGATATGCAATGCGCTGCGGGATCGGGCTTAGGGAACTCCGTGAATTCAGGCCAGCAGCTGTGCTGCCTGAGGCTTCTGCCTGTCCCGTCGCTTCTGACACCGCCGGCGTCCGCGGCGGCAGCGTCCGGGGAGGCAGGAGAAGGGAAGTGACAAGCGACGTCAGGAATCACAGTCTTTGAATACATACAAGTCAGAAAATTTTTGAGGATGTGATATTCAAGTCAATGGGACCCCACGCGAATGCGTGTCGTCGAACTGTTACGAGGGGGGAGGGGCCCCCGAGTAATGGGAGGCGATCGGCCAGACGGAGAGCATACGAAAATGGCGGGCAACAAATATCCGCATGTTTTTCGAGAGTGATTTCTGCTTGCCTCGAGGTAGGGTGAGGTTGAGTACGTATTTTAGAAAGGCTGGACAAGAGGAGACGGCAGAGGTTTCGGCAGAATTCACGTGTGGTGCACGGAAAACTGGCTTTGTTCCAAGTTTATCGTTCTGTTTGCTGAGTGCATGCGGCGACCGCTGAGGAACAGGAAGGCTGCAATTACAAAGGCTTCGACGAGAGGAGCAATGCAATTCCCCCCCCCCCCCCCC